TTTAGGACATTTCATGTAGTTTAAATTCTTAGCTGTCATTCGTCACTGCATATTTAAAACAAAGTAACTATTACAAAGTCTATTTTGATGACTCATGACAGTAGCTGCATTTAAAATAAAGTATCATTTTTTTATTAATCTGTATGGCCTTACTCTTTGTAGCTATTGGACCAGCAAGCACCAACTAAGAGACATAATTTGGGTCTTCCCTCGTTTTCACTCCCTTTTCTTCACAGCTGGCTCTTTCTCCCTCTCATGTCTTGGAAGGTTTGGCATATACTTTCTCTCTTTGTTTTTTTTTCCTCCATTTCTCTGTTTCCTTTCCCAAGTTCTTTTATTTCACTGTTTACCTTTCTCTGACTTTCTGCCTCAGCCCCAGATGCTTCTTCAGTGCATGGAAGCTGCTGCAGTAGAGAAAAGCTGTTCTTACCCAGCGTATTTTTTCTTAGCCATGTTGGCCTTGTTTATCATGCCACGGTGACCTGCCTTCCCTGGGAAGCGTGCAGTCCAGACGTCGGCAGCGCCAGGACAGCCTTGCCCTTTCACTTGAGCAGCAGAAACGTTTTCCAACTGCACAAATACTCCGGCATCCAGTTATTGACATTTGGGCAGCATGAGGCAAATAATGATAATGTTGGAGTAATTATAGACCCACGTCTTCCCGCAGAGAGGAGAGATTCACTTGTGACAGATTGCATTTGCTCCTTCAGCCATCTGCCAGGCAGCCACCCTGGGGGGGAGAAGTGCAAGAGGAAGAAAATGAGCAGGTAAGAGCGGTCCCTGGCCGCTGCGCAGCTTCTTGCCTCCTTCAGCAGTCCTGGAAGCAGTGACTCACGGGCAGGGAGGAACCAGGTAAGCAGGGTTTAGTTACAAACCAGAACAATAGGCTGAAGTGGAAGTTCTTCCAGAAAAAGCATTACAATGGGAATAATTAAGTTACACACCAGCCAAGTTCCTTCCTACCACCAAAAGTCTCTTAAGCCCAGCCCCCTTCAGCAGCTGTGCTTCAGCTGAGGCCTGGGCTGTGCGCCTCGCTGGGTCAGGCGGCCCTTATAGGGGCACCCGGAGTCCTGAACTCGGTTCCCAAGTCGCTGTTGCAGGGCAGCGTAGGGCTGCCTGGCCTTCGGGGCTAAACAGCTTCACACCCTGTCGCTCACAGCGGCCTCCAGCTGAACCCTTTCAGCGGCATAAAACCAGCCAGCCCGGTGTGCCGACGGCTCGAGAATGGCTTTGTCCTGCCTGTCGTGACACAAATGCGTACCCCTCTGGGGGGACACGTGGGTGGCTGTTGCATGTGGAATTAATTCCGGTCCTTGTTGGGGGTGAAAGGATGGGCTGCAGCTTTGTTTACGCCCGTCTGATTAACCCCGACTGCTCCCACAAGCGAGTGTGAAGCAGCAGCGGGTGCTGGTACAGCTGCTCCCAGCTGTGTGCCGGGCTTTCCTGTAGCCTGTGAAATTTGTTTTGGCTGTCAAATTGGCTGTGCAGTAGCCTTGCTCTGCCTTTTTTTCTTTGCCTTTATAGTGTCTTTTTAAAAAATAATATATCAAAACCCAAACAAATCCTCAAACAGGCAAAGCAGAAACTTGCTTTATTTACAGTCTGAGTCTGTTGCCACAGAGAATTTTTGATCTTTTGCTCCCGGGGAGGAGATTTGGAGGCTGCTGTCAAGAACCAATACACGTGGTTTTTAAGCCTGCAATAATAGACAAGAACGTAGCATCAATGGACCACAGAGTTGCAGCTGGATTGTTCCTTAATATAAAGATGATAAATATTCTACTTCACTGTTGTATAAATAATGTACTTTTTTTTTTGTTGCTTTTTAAAATTAGCAATACCCACGTTTGCAGTGCTGCGTGCGTGGGCCTGCGGCTTCAGCCGGAGTTTGTGGGGCCAGGCTGAGCCCTCGCACGCAGGCCGTGCTGCGCTGCCTCCGCACGCCCAGCTGCTGCCAGCACCTCGGGACGGGTGGTGCAGGTTTCCAGGAACAGGAGGAGGCGATGGCATTTTGTGTGGTTTCAGTCATTTCTGCAGTGACCGATTTTTTTTGCTCAGTGCTGCAGCCACACGGCCAGGTCATTGCACGCAAAGCTTGAACAAGCGAGGGTTATAAAGCTTTGTGAACGCCCAGTCCTGAATCAGGCGACTGTTCTCAGCTATGCCCTGCATGGGCTGCCTGTGATCAGGTGGAAATTCAGTTTTCTTCCTGTATCTGAGTGACTGCTCACAGCTGACCCTTGGGAATTTGTCTGAATAGGAGGAACAGAAAGAAAAGCCCTAGCCCAAGTTATAAGCTGTTGCAGCACTCACTTTGCCATTGTCATACTAAGAAATTTATTATTTGTAAAGAAACTGCACCTGGGACTAATTTTTAAGCCTCTGTGGCGAACGTTTCCTTCCTGATGACTCATGGAGGTGGTAGCATCCGTGGCTGACAGCCTGATGCTGAGCGTGGCTTTACTTTGTGGCTCATTTCGTTCACGTTTCCGAGGTTGGCCTGCCCTGCGCTGACCTGCCCGGGCTGAGGCGGGCATTCGGGACCAGGGCGCAGTACTGAGGTCTTGATAGAAATGTCTATCAAGATAGTGATGATTCCTTGGGAAGACAAAGGCCATCACTCCGAACATCCCCCCTCCTTCCTTCTTCTTCCCGTAGCTTTACATGCTCAGCATGACATCATATGGTATGGAATATCCCTTTGGTCAGTTGGGGTCAGTTGTCCCA